TTCAAATCAGAAACTTCTAGTCTTAGCAGGATCTGTGGAGTCACACTAGAACACACACACCTTTCACAAGCAACATCTGTGATGGAACAGGACAGAGCGCATGTACCTGACACCAGATCCTCTAAAGCTGAAGCAATCCTGCTGCATACAAAAATAACAGAAACCACAAGATTTTTAAGCAAGAGAAGAAGGTACGTAAGCTGTAAATGTGCACAGGGAGAACCCAACACGAGGAGCTCACACTACACCCCGACAACATCTTTTCCCCCTTCTGTCCATACACACACTCACACAATGAGTGATTTCCAAGGACACTCCTGTCCCAGCACGAAAGGGACTCTAGAAAACAAAATGCTGCAGGATCTGCCCATCTGTCACAGACACCCCTCAGTATCAGCACGTCTCACAGATGTGTGACTCAAAGTCTACATAAATCCATGCAGATCTTCAGGCTGGAAAACACCTCTCAGAGGACACACAGAGGCTGCCTTCGCCACCACAGGACTGGTCTGAATGCTACTGAAAGACCTCACTGGAATGACATGACTAGATAATAGGATGCGATGAGCAACACAGTGATCTTTTTAAGCAGAATTCACATGAATCAAAGAACTTTCAAAGCAGAAAGAAGGCAATGAAGAGTTCCAAAAGCAGCCAGTCCTACCCAAAGGAAATGACAAGTCGCATTTTAACGGCCTCTGCCTGTACTGCTATTTTTTTCTGGAGGTTGGCCAGATTTAAAGAATAATGGAAGGGTAACAGCGCCTGATCAATAAGCAATATAATGACTTTGAACAGAAACTTGGGTACTTCTATAGTACAACCTTACTTTGGAAGAGACCTAGTAAGAAGGATTAGTCTTCAGAGCTGATTTTCCTCAAACATTCTGGCTGAGGTAAGGGGCACTGAGAAGCTATTTCAAAAGACGAATACATTAGAGAACAGGAAGCCACAGGATTAGGAAAGTCACAGAAGATCAAAAGTCACTGAAGCATCTGGTCTCTCAGCAGCACGAACATCAGAAGTCCTTGAAGGAAATACCACAAACAGATGAGAGAATATCAAGATCCCTTCTCCTGGGTATATGAAGACAAGTCCTGTAGCTGACTTACGCAGTCGTGCTGGTCTGCAGTCAACTATGCACTTTTAGGGAGAAAAGCAAAAAAAGACAAAACCTTGAATCTGAGAAATTTAGTTTAAGCAAAATCTTTTCATTGCCAGCTTAATACTTTTAAGACACGAGTTTGAACTTAGTTACCTTCGTGTATTTTTTTTCCAGTTGTACTCTTTAAAAATATTAATACAAGAGTTTTCTTGTTTTTATTGCACTGTTTATTTATTGCCTTAACTAGCAGGATTTTAAGGAAGATTTGGGTAAACAAGTCAACTGCCCATGCATGAGATCAGGCCTGGCAAAAGGAAAACAAAACCAAAAAGGCAAGTAACCAGTCAACCAACCAGCACACTGCAACTTCTGCCTCTTCCTTGTGGAACTGAGCTTCAAGCTGTTAGCACACACAGCCATCTTCCTGGGTGTGCTGCAGGCTCTAGCATGCATTTCCAGCAGAAGATGCCCACACACAGCTCAGTGTCGTGCAGAACCAGAGAAGGCACTTGGCCTGGCAGAACCTGATCAGGTCCCCATGCATGGCGTCTCTCCTACCACTCTGGTCTGTTCCAGTCACTTGTTAACTCTGACAGCTTGGTATACATACACTGCTGCTTCTGAAGATCTGTACCAGTGGTTCCTGACAGCAGCACAGCGTCAGGGGAGGACGGTCAGCACTGCAGCTGGCCACGTCCCTCAGCAGAGGCTGGGGAAGCATCTCCCCAGAGCACACAAAAGGGGAAATTCTTCACAACTCCTTGGAAACCATAGGGAAACTGCAGCCCCCTGCCCCATCACCGTGCTCCAGGAGAGGCAACCTACACTACACCAAGACTCACAAAACTTCACAAGTTCTATTGTCTATTCTGTAGGATATTTGTGTTACTCTGCTCAAGAGAGCAGGCAGAAGCAATCTGGGATTACCTTTGGGCTGTTCACACACAGGAATACCTTCCAGCATCCTCTGCCCAGATGCATCAACAGCTTTTGGCCTGGGATCCCCTGTCTACAGTTGCATTATCATCACAGCATTCATCAGCAAGCAGCCTGAATCTCTTTTGGCTCTGCACACTGCCCATGAGCTTGCTTCTTCAAACAAATCACTTTCACTGGGCACTTTGGACAGTGCATTTATTCATCTAGCCCTAATTAACAACTCTCTTGGAATGATTTGCTATCCCAAATGCAATGATAAGAATTTATTTGATCATCACTTCCCATCACCCAGACTCATTCCTGTGCCCTAGCTGGAAAAAAAAAACTCCCACAGTTCTCAAATTTAAAGTCAGAGGACAAAGATGAACCATGTGCAAAATTAATATGAGAGTACCAGTGGCACGACTGGCCAGTGACCATTTATGGACCCACACCAGCACAATATTCTGGCTGTAATATGAGCACCTTGGATAAGATGATATTAAGAAAAAAAAAAGCCATGAATAAAAGACAAAGGTTGATATTTGCAAGACAAGAAACTGGATAATCAAGCTTGGGTAGGTAAACCCTTTCTCAGCATACAAAGCATAACTTGCTTTGCTTGCCTCTGTGACAAAAAAAAAAAAAAAAAGAGTATATATATTATTATCTAATACAAAAGCATTGCAGCCTTGCAGTTTTACTTAAAATCTTTGGCAATTGATAAGGCAGCTCCTCCAAATAAGGTGCTTTCTATAACTTGGGTGACAATGCAGAAAAAACCTGAAGTTATTTTAATAGGGCATCTCTGAGGTGTGGCTGGTCCCAAAAGTCATCTCAGTTCTTCTCAGTCATTGAATGAACCTGCAGAATGCTGCCTGGGATGACATAACAAAACATAACAAGAAAGGAGCTCCTTCCCAGTATTCCCATAATGTTACAGAAATGCATTTTGTCCAGGCAAAGTTATTCTTCAAAGATAAATGCAGAGTTATTAACTAGAACAAATTCTGGTGAAGTCAAGCACAGATTTCATACAGAGGAAAACAGTGCACCAAAGGGGAGATCCACCACAGTGCTACCTTGGAACCTGCCCAGGCATTGCCAAAAGTGCCTCTCCAAACCTTCGGCGTTCTTTGAAATAAACCTGTAAAGCATTTCCCTTTTACTTTCTCAAGTAGATCAGTTTTCTGATTTCCATCCTTCCTTCTGGCGCCCATCACCACCCATCCAGCTCCCCCTGCTCTCACCTGCCGGCAGCACGCTGCACTCACCTGGAAGAAGCTGCAGTGGCTGTAGGTCAGAGCTGTGGGACTGGCACAGCAGGTCAGAGGGCTGATGTGGGTAGCAGGGGAGCAGCAGGGCAGAGCAGCTGCAAGAATTCAAACACACTGATCAGACTTCCAGAATCTGTGCTCGGTGTGCAGAGTTCTATGGCTTACTTTGATTGAACAGCTCAATAGTTGAGGTAACTAAATGCCAGCACTGCATGATCTCCCAAATGATTTTACGACCTCACCTGAAAAACATTTGTTATAAATATATACACACACACATGTTGTAAAATGGACATACACAAACTTAGAAACTTCATAATCAAAATTTTTGCACACTGTTATCACCTCTTTTGTTATCACCTCTTCTGTTGTCTTCTTCCACCACAACAGAACACAGAGAGGGGATTCACACAAGAAGAACACGTGTGCATGCGTACAAACTGGAATTAAAGGGCCACTGCATCCTAAACAGCATCTCTGTGTATGAGGCACTGTTCTGCAGCTATTACCTTTGGGGACATGCAGAAATAGTTAAATTAAAAGTAAAGGCCTCACTTGCATGACAGATAACCTCTAAAACTGCCATCATTTTGAGAAAAATAAATGTTATCATGTTCAGTCCAGTGACTGTAACAGAGACTAACAGGAGAGAGGTAGTGAACAGATGAAGTTTACTTGCAGTGCTGGAAACTGACAGGGGATTCCACATAAGGAAGATGTTACAATAACCAAGCGTGATCTTTTTAGAACACCTGTTCTTCCTGCCCTTTTCAACGAGAGCCGGTGGGATTCTTGTGCAGTTTACAGCAACAAACAGGGGAGAACAACAAAGATAAAGCCAGTGGGCAGCCTCCTAAGCAAGCATGGTATGTGCTTATAATTTGCAACTGCAAAAGCTCATTCTGAGCGACTCTATGATCAAATTCAGACCTCCTTCAGGAGAACATCCTACGACCTGCAGACATATCCCTGCTCTGGATACTGCCATAAAACAAAACAAAACTTGGTTTGGGAATATTTCACTCACAGGAATCTCCAAACTATGTTGACAAACTCAGAACATCAGAACAGCTTCTGAAGGACTTCTGGAAAAGCAATGGCAAAGAAGTTCCTTCTAACCTGCTAAAGCAACCCTAAGGAGAAGCAAACACGTGAAGACATTATCTTCTAATGAAAAAAGAGGAAGGGTGTGAAGGGAAGAAGTGCTTGTGAGGTACTGCATACGTGAAACACCAGCTGAAGATCACTTTCTACAAAACACGACAAGATAAATGGCAGCACTCTTGTCACAGCCAGCAGCACTAAGAGCAAAAGCAACTCGTGAATCAGAGACACTGCAACGTTTGTAAGGCGAAGGGGGGAACACAACGCTGTGCAGGGCACGAGAAACCAGTGACCGATTCTGAAGGGGAAAACTGTCACACAGAATGGTTTGCTCTCACAAGGATGCATTTTTGGCAGCTCGCCGACGGCAGCAGCAGTGCCTGCGCACTGTCACAGCATGCACGACTGAAGGCACTTCGGCAGCAAACCCACCGTAAGACAGAACAGCCCTACCTAAGTGCCACCACCGCCCGTGGTCACAGCAGGACATCCATCACACATCCAAACAACTCTAAAACTGCTGGAGATGTATTTACTGACGAGCCGTGCTACCAAGGGTGGAGGTGCCAGTTCATCCAGAGTGCTTCACGCCTTCAAATGGAATCAAGGTGCAACAAGCTCACCTGCTTCTCTCACATGCTTTATGGTTAACTGCAGAGATTGAATTTCTGAGCTCCACTGCCCAAGGCACAGCTCATCTAGTCATACCCAGAAGGAATCATCAGAGGAAGCACAGTCTGCTCTGCAATACTGACAGCAAACACAGCCTGAATATTAAAGAGACGGGGAAAAGTGGTATCTTATGGAATAAATGAATATGGATTGAACGAATTAAGGAGATACAGCCTTTTTAAATAGAACGGAGTAAGATGATCAGCCTCAGAATTGATTCGGTTTCTGTCAAAAAACAGACAATATGCTGCCCATAAAAGCCAGAGATGGAAAATTTCTCATAGTCTACAGGATCCAACGTGCAGAACATGAACACAGCTTACACAAATGGAATTGCTGGCAGTGGGACCGTAACCAACCCAGTGACAAAAGCCTCAGGACAAGTGGAGAGCAATGAAAACACAGCTCACAGAGCAAGGGAAGGGCTGAGCCATGCACTGTGAACATCCTTGCACAGGTGCCGAATGACTGTATTCCAAACGTGCTGAACATACGTACCCATATTCAGAGAGGTCACAAAGAACTTAAAGGAAATTATTTAGAAGCACACTAATAGAAATATTAAAAGGAAAGACAAGTGAGAAAACCTGGCAGTTGAACAAGAAAAAATAGAAGAAAACAGAATAGAGAATGAGTTGACACCTGTGAGTATGTGATGAGAATGAGTCAGTAAAATACTTCATTTTCAAGAGAAGTCACCCTTTGCTGCTGTCTGGAGAGACCTGCAGTAGGTAAACGAGCAGAGATATTGACGATCGTGTTGCTGTGATGGTTGCTAATAACAGCAGCTTTTCTCACGGCAGAAAAGAGCAGAGCCATGGAAAAAAAGCTCTGTGAGGTCTTCCAAAGCCTCCACCTACCAGATAAAGCTCTGTGCTTCAGAAAAGCAAACTGATTTCATGTGGAAAACGACAGGTTCTTCACTGTCCGCCAGTAATCAGGAGCCGGATGTTGGCGTTATGGTGAATAGCTTCAGGAAAACATCAGCTTCACACTCAGAAGCTGTCAAAAAGATTCCCAAAGCCACTAATGAAACAGACACTGTTGTGAACTGCGGAAAGAAAGGAAGATTATTATTGACTGCATGAACTTCTGATTTACTCACACTTTGACTACTGTGTGTCTTTTTGAACTCTCCATCTCAATAAGAAATGAACACAACTGGAAAAGACCACAGGAGGGCAATGTGAAGGATGCACCAAACACTTCCCTGAACAAACAGCCGAGTGGGGCTCTGCAGCCTAGAGAAAATGCAGCAGAAACGTTCAGAGTCACAAATGGTGCAGGGAAAGGGACAGAGATAGATGGACAGTATGGAAAATGATGTAACACCTGGCTTTGGGAAAATAAACACCAGAACTTTTACAGGGTTACGAGGGATCCCATGCAAACATTTATTCCAAGGCTTCCAGAGTCACAAGTCACCACAAATAAGTAAATCACACAGTCTCTTCAATAGGTCACGTCTCACTCTTTTGTCCAAGAATGAAAAAACAGATTACAGCAAAACACAAGAAATTACAACAATGTCCTACGTAAATTGAGGCACTCCATTAAGCAAATTAGAAACCATAATGACAAAATGGAAACTCTTACCTACCTCTCTCTCTCCTCTTGAGATAATATTATTTTACATGCTCACAATGTTTCAGTCGACAAGAACAAATCAATCATTTATGCCTTTGCTGAAGGCATAAAGGCTACAGTTATATCTGCAAATTAAATGCATCCAGATCCATTCTTAGGCACAGACTCTGCTAATATCATTAAAATGTCTCACTCTTCCTGTCGTAACAGCTACATCCCAACAGTCTCTTGGAAATGGTCCTACCTTCATGCTAAGTGCTGCTTTTCAAGCATGGTGCAACCAAGCTAACAATCTAATGATGGGGTTGATGCAGCCTTGAATAATCACAGTAATGTCTCCAAAGATCTGGCAGAAATTGGAGGATATACATCATCTCCAGGTACTCAAGGGTGCAACAGACATCAGAAAGCAGCCAACAGGCTGACGTGAGCCAGCAGTGTGCCCTGGCAGCCATGACAGCCAATGGTGCCCTGGAGTGCATTGCACACAGCGTGGCCAGCAGGGCAGGGAGGAGATCCTCTCCTCTGCTCTGGGTCCAGTTCTGCTCCTCTGTTTCAAGCAGATTGGGAACTGCTACAGAGAGCACAGGGAGGGCTGCAGAGATGGTCAGGGCCTGAAGCATCTCCCTTACGAGGAAAGGCTGAGAGCCCTGGGGCTGTTCACATGGAGAAGAGAAGGCTGGGGGGGATGTGACCAGTGTTTATCAATATCTAAAGGGCCGGTGCGGAGCAGTTGGGGCCAGGCTCTTTTCAGTGGCGTGCAGCAGCAGGACAAGAGGCAAAATAACAAACTGGAAGGTGAGAAGCTCCATCTGAACATGAGGGAGAACTCCTGGGGTGCCAGAGCCCTGAATGGGCTGCCCAGGGAGGCGGAGGAGCCTCCTTCCTTGGAGATATTCAGAACTCACCTGGACGCTTTCCTGAGCAACCTCCTTAGGGAACTCTTTGGCAAGGGGTTGGCCTGAAGAATCTTCAAAGTTCCCTTCCAAAACCTACGGTTCTGGGATCCTGTGTTAGCCAAAGGAGATGAGGCTGACACTCTCCAGCTTTTTCTGTTCCATTTGAGCACAACCTACACGTGAAACACTCAGGAAGAACGCTGCAGACCACCCTGCCAGTCATCCTTATTGTGTCACATCCCTAAGCTATGCCTAAGGAAAGCTAATTACTCATCATACAGCTGGGTCAAGAAATTACGGAGAGCACCTGTGCCTGTTCCTGCCAAATCAATGAGCACATCGGGATGGGCCTGCAAACAGCAGCTGTGCAAGCTCTGATCTTCTACAAATTAAAGAATGAAGGAAACGAGGATGACATCCAAGGTCTCTTCCTTAAAGAAAATGGGAGCTGTCTTAGATATGTAAGTAGGATGGATTGCATTGCCACTTCGTGCTCTCCCAGTTTCCAAAACTAGCTGTGCTCTCTCTACAGTTCACATAGAAACAGTTCAGTACAGTTCAACAGAAAGAAACTGTCTTCCAACAGCATAGATCTAAGAAGGCTGGATTGACTCAACTTCTGGGAGGTGCCTGTTTCTCTCTACTGACTATATATGTAATCTAGACGACAAGCCCAGGCATATACAAGTGAATATTATACATTCAGATGAATCTTAAGCAAGATAAATCCTACTACTAGTTTTACAAGTGCATTACTAATGCATCTAGTCTGCTTTTCTCAAGGGAAAATGTGCTATTTATGCTGTTTTAAAACAGACACTGCGTTTTCAGCTGTTTACTTATTTTAAGAAGCCCCCTTTGACCAAGGCATATGTGAATTTCAAGCTTTCATTTTATCCTTACAGAGGATGTATCATTCAGAATAACATAACTGCTCCTGAGCTGTCATTCACAAAAGGTTGCTACATTTAAACAAGCTCTACAGCCACAGCTGTATTCAGAAGGCACCACTGGCCTGCAGTACCAGGTGGCATCAAGAACTGATATTTCTCACATGGGCTCATTGCCTGACTTTCCATTACTGGGATATTCTGATGATCAAACTTCACTACACTCCTCTGATGCAGTCCCACAACTCTCAAATGCTCCAGTAGTAGCAAAAGATCCAGATGAACATCTCCTATTTCAGTGCCTTCTCAGTAAGAATCATAATGAGAAAAAAACCAAGGAAATCTTTTTGTTGCCTAAGTTAACAAACACATTTGAACACACACAGAGATGAATCTTTTCACAAAGCCCAGCGCTGATTTAATTTAATAGGACTTCAAAAACACGTTCATTAAACATGAAATGAAAAGAGCTCCAAGAATGAGCATGCATTCTTCAGCCCCTTCTCTTGTGAAATACATTCTTTAAGATGAACTATCACCTTCCAAATAAGCTAATCTTGCTTTTGTGCTCTCGAGATGAAGGAAAGCAGACTTTTCATATATACATATGAAAAAATAGGCTTTCAGCATTCTCTATGCTGTGAGGTACAGAAAAAAGGATAGCAGAGAGATGAAGAGGTAGACAGAATCAGCAGTAAGAACACTGCCCGAAGTGGCAGAGAAAATGAAAAGATTTTTAATGCTGCCTATTGAAATGGCCAACCTTTCTTCTCAAAACTACTGAAGAGTTTACTGAAATTTCAAAAGCCTCGGCCTCCACAACGTTCTCTATTTGAATCACACCTGAATTACTATGCCTTGCAAAATGTGGAATGCTTTTACTGTGCTTCCCGGCGCCCCCCCTCCTACCCCCCAAAACAAAGATTCTGCTCTACTTCTCCCATGGTGTTTCAAAGGAGAAAAAAAGGTTTTTTCAACAGCATAACTGATTTCTTCTTCAAACTTTTATAACTCCAGTGGAAGAGAACAGTGTCACCCAGTTCCAGGGATCTACGTACGCTGGTTTAAATCTAAGCTGCTCGCCTTCAGTTCCTCCACAGCCAATACTGCAAATTAGAGTGAGATCACTCACACAGCACCTCTTCACAAAGCCTAAAAGCTCAGTGAATCACAGCCTCCCGCTGCCCAGCTCCTTTCCTGCCCACAGAAGAGGTCTGGAGGAGTAGCGGAGATAGAGACATCTAGAACTGCAGGTGAGCTGTACCCAGATAGAGACAAGAAGGGACCGTCTCCCCTCTTAAACTGCGCTCTCAGCTCACCCTGCTCCTGGGAGGAGACGTAATGACTTGCAGCTCGCAATGCAAACTCTCTGCACTGATCTCTGTAACACCACAGGGCAAGGAACACGTGCAAGAAGTTCCCTGTTTCTTAAATCTTTACAAGTGTCCACAGGATTTGCATAATTCCTCAGAATCCCTCCTTGATAAGAAGTGTAACGGAACCGGCGGCTGCTGTCTGAAATGGAAGCGAACGCTCCCAGCAGAGGCCTCAGAGCACACAAAAGACAGGGAGATTTCACTGTGTGCTTTTTGGAGAGTGACAGCAGCCACCGCATGCAAGGTTTCTAAACAGGGATATCTGACTCAGTGGAGGAGCAGCTGCCAAGGGAGGAACGGGCAGAAAGTGAGAGTAATCACTGAGCCTGGGTTTGTCCAAGCCAAGAGTCACGGCGTTCCGGGTTTCAGAAGTTCCAGGGAAGTAAAAAAAATAAGAATAAACAAAACAAGCGTGTTTTTTTCCAGTTCAAGGCAAGAGCAGAAAACAGGAGAATAACTTGCTTCAATTCTCCTCTAGAAAAACAAATCCCAAAAACTCGTCTGAAGTAAGACTGAAAATTCTAGCGGCAATGCTTCAGACAAAAGGAGGTAGTGAAGATTTTTGTAGCCCCCCTGTCTGCAGCACACAGAAATACACTGCTGGGGAAGGAAAGAAAATGGGGACAAAGATTATAGAGCAGAAGGAAACATTCTGCAGAAGATTTGCAGCCGATCTTTGGCTTTAAAAAGTTACTTGGGAAAAGATGAGAGCAAGGAGCAGTGTGATACTTTTCAATAAGTCCTCTGTGCCTTAATGCCATCCCCGTCAGTTTTTCTTAATTAAACATTAAAGAGAAAAAGGGAAGTTAGGCTAACAGTTAGGCTAACAGCCTAAATGCAGACAAATGTTCTCCTCCTCACCCTTCAGCCTCTGGAGGCTGTATGGAAAATCACCAGAGGATACCAAGTCTGGAGGGAGGGCAGGAATATGGAACTGAAAATGCTGTAAAAGTCTTTAAAAGTCTTTACAATTTCTAATTCTCACTGAAACACACACGACGGAGCACTGTGAAAAGTGCACATATACATATATATATATATGACTTTTAGAATTCTTTTTCTTACCTGTTGGATAATAGGCTTGTGAGTAGTGCAGGGGAGACGTGTAGCTGCTGTACTTTGCAGGGGAAGTGGCAATGGCTTGAGAGACCTGAAGTGGCACAGGAGAGGCACCGGACTGCAGGGTGTACGTGACCTCTGTCGGAAGCCTCTGGAATATGGGGAAGGCAACCCCCTTGTCTGGGAGGGCTGCGGACGCCTTGTGTCCTGGGAGCAGCCCAAGGGAGCTCTGCCACGTTCTGGAAGGGATCGGAGTCCGATCCGGGCTTTTTGCTGGTAAGGAGCTGAGGCTCTGCGGGGAGGCTGAGATGTAGGAGTAAGGAAACAAGCCGTCTCGTTGGTAAGGCCTATGGAACTGTCCTGCAGCCAGCAGCCCTGCATCAGGCAAAACAAAGCAACTGTTAATGAC